GAGGGGGGAAGGTGGGAGGGCGTGGTGTGTGCGAGGGCAATTATGGACATTATCTCGCGGTAAGAGGGAACTTCCTAAGCAGCGACGGAGAATGATCGTTCTCTTATCTGTCGCGTCACACGCTCGAGAGCGTGGAAAATCTGGCATGAGCGAGATCCAAGTTGACACGGTGGCGAGAGAGGGAGAGAGAGAGAGAGGGAGATTCTAAATTGTCGCTCTGGAGAAAACGCTGTAAGGTACACTATGAATATTAAGTTGATTCAGAAGTGTAGAGTGCACGATTCACTTGCCAGTATGTCCCCATCTACATGAAAAACGCAAAACCTATAAAATTATACATCTATAACTAAACACCTATACGCAGGTATAAAAAATGCAATCACATTGATAGCTGTTCGGTGCTTATCAGCAAAGACTATTGAATCAACATGATATACACGGTGAGGCAATAACTGTCACCATTTTGCACCGAGAGAAAAATATAGTTATTTTTCGGAGACAACAATGTCCTTTTTTTACTTTAATGCTACAGTAACATTTACTGGAAAAATAGTATTCTCGACTATTTTTGTGGTTAAAATGAAAAAAGGATTGTCTCCTAAAATAACGATATTTTTCTTTCGGTGTGAATATCTTTGAGATATAAAAGGGTGAAAAAAATGTATCTAATAGAAATTGTATGATTTGATACCAATGGTCGTTAATAAAATATATTTATTTTTCGAAGACACATTAAGAGAAATCCCACTAAAATTATAATCATTTTCGGCCTCAACTGTGTTATTTTCTGGTTTTAATCCGAAATATTAGCAGTAACATGCAGTGATATGCATATAAAGTGTTGTTATCACAAGCATTATTGTAACACTTAATAAAAAATGGTTCTCCTGACTATAATTCTTTCAGTTACGCAATTATAGTTACAAATATCAAAAATGTTTTTCTCATTTAATATTTTTTATGATAATATACATAGTTATTGCCTCATCTTGTATTGAATGAAATAAAGAAAATCTATGAGAGTAGGTCAAATCATAGGATCTTAGTTGGATGGTTTAAATCACCCATGGGAGGGTAATAGTGTCCGACACTGTGATAATGCATTCCCGGACTTACAACGTACGCTTCGTATATGCCTGACCATTATTACCACATATATGATTTTCGACTTTGTGTACAGAGAAAAAGGTTTTTTTAGACTTTGTATTTTTATTTATTTGCCAAAAATTTGTCTCAAACAACATATACGAAATATTATTTGTTTGAGTAAAAATTGTATCGTCTCACTCAAGAAAACTCTATTATTTAACAGAAAGAACGCCATTATTTGAAATAATATCCTTTAACCAAATAAAATATTATTCGGTTACAATAAATATATAAGACGAAACAAATAATTTCTTTATAAAGAAATTATCCTTCGTTTCAAACAAATTTTTTATTCAAGATAAAGATACATATTCGGTGAAAAATTCAACAATCGTATTTATTAATCGGAACATTAGTTTCTTCGGAATACGCTAATGATGAAATTTGTTTGGATGCAATGAAATTCGTTAAATTTCAAGAAATCTTTTTCTCAGTACACCTATCGAGTATATAAATACTGTTTATTTCTTAGATATTTCTTCTCTCAGTGCAGTTAATTAAAATCATCCACCTAAGGACTTGCAACTTGCCTCTTATAATCCCTCTCTCTCTCTCTCTCTCTGTCCTCTCGCCCCTCTTTCTCTCTCTTATTCATTTAGTTATTTTTCACAACTCAGAGCCTATAATGTATTTGTCGCAACATTAATTTTCATCTCTACTGCCTCTGGGCGAACGTTATCGCGGAAAAGCAAGAGAGAAAATTCCGATTCTAATTTCAGCAGGATAACTGTTACTTCTCTTCTCATTTTTTCGCTGACAACGATTCCGAAGCGTTTTACATTTCCCGACGATTCCCGACGAATCCGTGGAAGTCTCTCTCTCTCTCTCTTCGCGCCCGGGGCACGCTCTCGCGCGGAGGCCGCAATTAGCCTGCGTACCGTTACCGTAGCGGCGACGTGCGCCTAGGAAGCGACCAATTTGCATCGACTACGAGGCGCAATCGTCGCCGTGCACCAGTCGCAATGCGGTCAAACGGAAAGAATGCGCGCTAGTCGGGATTGCCCCTCGCGATCGCGTCGCGTTCCTCCGCTCACACGGAGAAGGAATTAGCCCTCCGAGCTAAAATACAGCTATGGTAGCTAAGATTTAAAACTGGGACTAATGTTATTACCGCAACTAAATTTAGCTGAAATTTAGACGCCACAATGAGAAATATTAGTTTAATCGTGCTAAAATCATATTCACATTTCCGAAGAAAATGTTTCGCTTGTTTCTAACAAGAATTACCTTTAAGATATTTTATCTTTAAGGTAGATATATATATCTTTAAAATAGATGCTGATTTTCTGAGATTTACTTGATTTTATGTTATTTAATATTTGAGAAACACGTTTAGGCACTGATTGATTCGAATCCGAACTTTTCGGATCATCGAGTCAATCACTTTAGATATTACCTTCTTCGTCGATTAATTTAAACCTGTTTTATATTGTGTAGAGAGAAGGAGTGTAAAATGGCGAAGTAAGATGACAATTTATTAATCTTTCTAAGCTAATAACAACTGACGAGTTGGTGCTCATTCATTGCAATTCATCACAGGCTTTTAATAATAATAAATAGTTTGTTGTAACTTGACTTCAATCTGTCAACGACAGTAAATAATATAATAAGAAAAGTATTTTGGACAGATCCATATATATAATTTTATATTTCCACTTTCATAAAGAGATAATTACACAATTATAGTAAATATTTTCACTTTTTCAAAAAAATTGCTGTAGAGTATATCTAAAACATATATCATAGCGTATTATTATTCTTCATTTCTTATATTGCAATGTTGATTTTTAATTAAATAATCAAATATATTGACTATAGAGTAAAATGGTATCATGAATATTATGTATGAGTAAAATGACACGCATTCGTACATTTTATTTTCAAAATTATATAATTATAAATAATC